ACACACACACACACACGCAGACAATCCCTCGTCAATACGCGTTTTCTGAGTGCAAAAAAAATGAATGCAAAAAACGCATAATAAGGGCTGTCTAGGAGAGGCGTGCTAGCAATCTTGTTAGTCAGACATTTCGTATAGCAACGTAAAAAGCTTGTTAAAAACTTGTAATTATATATGGATAGAAAAATTCAAGAATTCAGTCATGCTAGGATCTTAGCTGTTCCCAGGACAATTTTCATTTTTTAGGAGTTTTTTGGTTTTTCTTCTAAATTTCGAAAAAACCTGGTGCGCCCTGATGATGAGATCCAGTTTCAAGCGTTTGCACGTTTTTTGTACAATATCCTCGCCGAATGCCACGCTTACATTTCGTAGTTTGTTGGGCTCGTAACCTTTTAAATCGAGTTTCGGATCAGACCAAACCAAATCTTGTTCCAAAGTATCCGGAAACGTTTCTAACACAGGCATTTTTATCTGCAACGTAAGGCTGTGTAAAAGTCGCAGTGTTTTTCCGAAGCTCCTTGAAAAATTATTTTGTTTTGAAAAAATCTTTACATTACGAATATCATCAAGAGTCTCGAGACGTGGACTCAGGCCTCCGTGCATACAAAGTATTTTGCCCTTGATCAGCGCACAGAATGGCAAAACAGAGAACAAATCGTTGAATTCTTTCCACAGACGCATTGCCTGACCTGAAACTCACTCAGTTCATAAATTTTTTTGTCTTCATATCTCTTTGCCACTCTGTACTGCCTTCTTTCACAACTCTTCCTAGTCTTCACATTTAATCCCATAAGGTTTTTATGCGTTTTCGATTTCAGGGTGAGATCCAAAAACCAGATAGCTACAGCAAATCAACATAAAGGCAATCGTGAACAAAACTGGAATAAAAACTTTTCCGGCATTGATACTTTGATCAGCTGTTTTTCGTCGTCTGCTCGCTATTGATAAAACTGGCGTGTTTGTGTCCTCTCCAAACTACTGCAGGGGAGATATGCTTTTTAATTTTTGAGCAAAATTGTGAGGACAAAATTTTTGAGCACTTGCTGCAAACAGTTCGGCGAAGATTTTTCAGAAATATGCACCAGTTCAAACAAAATGTGATTTTTTTTTAAAAATGAATTTTTTTTTCTTAGCAGTCCTCAGCTAAAAAACCCAGGCTGGAACGCACCAGGCGGGCCGGTGCGATTATGCGTTTTTGCACTTTTCATACCGTAGCAAGATCGCAAGG